TTTTTTTTTTTTTTTTTTTTTTTTTTTTTTTTTTTTTTTTTTTTTTTTTTTTTTTTTTTTTTTTTTTTTTTTTTTTTTTTTTTTTTTTTTTTTTTTTTTTTTTTTTTTTTTTTTTTTTTTTTTTTTTTTTTTTTTTTTTTTTTTTTTTTTTTTTTTTTTTTTTTTTTTTTTTTTTTTTTTTTTTTTTTTTTTTTTTTTTTTTTTTTTTTTTTTTTTTTTTTTTTTTTTTTTTTTTTTTTTTTTTTTTTTTTTTTTTTTTTACGTGAGCTTCTTTTTCCGAACGAGGTTTCCTAGACAATGCTTATCTAGGTTTATCCTCGATTGGTCAACTCGAGTTCCCTAGATCAGTTTCCCGGGCTCATTATCCCATTCCACGAGGTGGCTCGGGATAAGAGGAGCCTAGTCCGTACCTCCTCGCGAACTCACTTTTTTTTTATTTTTTTATTTTTTTATTTTTTTTATATTGAAGGGAGTGGCACAAACGTACATCACAAGTGTAATCACATAAACACATAGTCGATCGAGATGCACTACAAATGAATAGCATAACACGTTTACAACAATAATCGAGCATAAGGTAGGCCTATCCCAAGTCAATCAATCGAGAACCACAAGGGACAAAACAATTCCGTGAATTCACATGTGGGGGTACCACATTAAACAAACTATCATCCAATTCAATGGTACCATCCAAATCATCAAGTTCATAAAGCACGAAAGTTAACAATGACGCCAATCAACATACTTATCTCGCCACTTAACCATTTTGGGCCTTTAAACTCACATCAAACATCATGGAGGGGAATCGACACAAACACACAAACATAACTCAAACAAAACCGGTCTAAGACACGAAAATAAAGCACCGAAAATAAAAGAAGTATCGCCTAAACATGCATAATCACAAAATCCCTCCCCCACACTTAAAACAAAGCAATGTCCTCATTGCTTGACCCAAAAAGCATAGGATAGAGCACATAATCACACAAGCTCATGCGATAAAAAAAATAAAATAATAAATAAATAAATAAATAAATAAATAAAATAAACGCACGAAAACAGAGGGCACACAAACAAGAACACAAGCAAAGAAACGAGAGAAAAAGAAAAGAAGGAAAAGAAAATGCGTACTCAACACGGTGATGCACCACCGCGTGTCTAATGGTGTTAGTCCAGTGGGAATAACGAGAATAATCCGAAGGTCCTCGAGTGCAAAATAAAACCATCCGAACGATTGTAAAATGAAAGCATATCGATCCATAAGCTATCCGGAGCTTGAACATTTAAAGCATAAGAGAACGCAAGAATCTCGTCCCTCGGCCTCGGTTAATGACCACATGTATGCGTCTCGAAGGGATGAAAACCGTGAATCCACAAATACTCGACAAAGACACAAATATGCTCGAAAGCTCAAAAATCGGGCCTCGAGGTCCTCAATGACACTCGCCATGGAATGACACGGCCAACTCTCCTTGGGTTCAACGCACAAACCAATTACCGACACTTGCCATATGTAGCAACCTACAAACTGAAACATCCGGCAACAACACAAAAATTGGCACGCCCGGCAAGACGTGCCTATCACAATCGAAGGATCACCTCAATCACTCAATTCGACTCACCAAAACCACTACTCCGGCAAGAGTAGTGTTCCACGTCATCCCAACCAACCAATAATCAAGAAAAATCGAAAGAGACATGATACCTTGAAGCTCGTCGGAAAATATGGTGCCGGAATGTGGGAAAAGAGAGATAAGCATTGCTCGGAGTTTTGGTTGCCGGAAAATGCACCTCCATTGAAAAATCCATGAAGGTTTGGTAAGAAAATGACGAAAAACGGCGAACCGGGGGCTCGGTGAGTGAATTTTGGCCGGAAAATAGCTCGCCGGAAAAGTTGGACGGATCCGGCGAAGGTGGCCGGAATCTGAAGCGCCTCGGCGAGAGGATTCCGAAGGTGTCCTCGGATTTTCATAACTCCAAGTGAGTCACCGGGAATTTGAAGTTGAAGGTTGAAGGAGATTTGTAGATCTACGAGCTTTGGCCGGAAATCGGAAGCCTTCTCGCCGGAATTTTTTCTTGAAACTTGGATATGTTGTCGGCGTCGAGGAGAGCTTCACGTTGATATAAAATTTGTCATGATCGAAGCAAGTTGGCCGGAGGAGGTGGCGGCGCGCGGTGGTGCGCGGTGGCGGGCGGCAGCCGGAAGCTTGGGGAAGAAGATGGGTGCTTGGTGTTCGGGGAGTTGGCGGGTCGCGAATCAGATTTGGAGCCGCGAACACTTTAGAGCTGAAAAATGAGACCTGGGCGAGTTCGCTGGCGAAAACATGTTGGCGGGCTGCGAGTGCGCTTTGGCTGGGCGCTAGGGCCATCTCGCGCGCGAGTGCGGATTGGCAGAGCGCAAGTTGAACTTCGGGGCGCGAACACTTTGGGGCTGAAAACTGTCAGTGGAGGACTTCGCGGGCGAGTTGGAAGTCGCGGGTTGCGAAACTGAAGTTGCTGGGCGCGAGTTGAGATCCGCGGCGCGAGTGTTGATTGGCAGGGCGCGAACCATGGTTCGCGGGCGAGTGCTAGGTGTTTGGCCTTCCTTAACCCAAATTGCTATACTTAGCCAATTTTTTTACAATTTTCGCTCAAATTCTCAACTCAACTTTCGAGCACCATTTTTGCTCGATTTTCGAGCCGTTTTTCAACACTTCGCCGCATCCAACCCAAATTTCAACATAAGCTCGGTTTCGAGTCCCGTTTCCTTCTCTAAAAATACCGTGTGTCATGTGGCTTGCGGGGCTATTTATTCTCGAAAGAAAGCGAAAAGTAAGAAAACGCAATAACCGTGGGTTGCCTCCCACGAAGCGCTCATTTTATCGTCTTGAGCTTGACGTCCTCAAACCAAATCAACCGGGATCCAAAAAGAAATGACGATCATGCCACGCCTTTGTATTCTCCAAAAGAAGTCGGGTCGGGAGAATAGAACAAAGGCGGGCCCAGTGAAATCTCGTGCCTTCATTCTTGTGAAACCGAGCACGGATATCAACAACCACCACAAGAAGAGATAATTTTTTACTAACCAAGGCCCTATATTCGACCTCCGAAAATATGAAATTGTCCGTGGAGCACGTCGAATCGATCTCAATCGTCATGTGTATCATCTCGGATGCGTACTCATTGATCTCAAGCATTGGGAGCATGGGCGTGAACACGCTAGACTCCTCCACATGGTCACCATCCTCAATAATACGAAATGACGACCCCAAGGTCATTGGAACCACTTCATACCCAACATCACAAGCCAAATCCTCAATCAACGCACACCTTGGGTCCACGACATGACATGATGGCTCGGAATCCTCCTCAACAACATCCACCAAATCATGAGCTTCCGCTCCCTCCTCTTCGAAATCATCCTCCCGAGTACTATCACCTCGGTTACACACAATCGAATCCTCCAATAAATTATCTCCCATACCATTCACAATATCAACTCCGAAATCCATACACTCATCCTCAACAATAGAATTTAAGCCCAAAGCACTATCACCGAAAGAGAGAGTTGACGTACCTAATGTAGATTGCGAGCCCGGATCGGCAAGGGAGGAAATTTCTTTAACAATCAACTCATCGATGTCCTCACTCGTGTGGAGAGGTTGAGTCCCGTCATAAACGAGAGTGAGGCCCATCTCTTTCAAAGAGGCAAACCTATCCACCATAGCTCGAAATTCTTCCTCTAACCGTGTACTCTCTCGAATAACTCTCGCCGATAGAGAACAATATCTACCGACTGGAATGTGAGATTCGTCCATGTCGAGAAAGGCTACCACGGTCGAGTCGAACTTCGTAAGTGTTGCTTGAAGAACGGATGGAATGGGAATGCACTTCCAACTATAAAACTCCTCAATGATCGACATGAGGCTTGCAAGTGCCTCTTGAGTGCTCGTCAAAATCTCTTGGTGACGTTCGGTAGGCTCAACCGTTAGTGGAAATGAAGCTTCGAAACTCGATGTACACGGTTGGTCAACTGATTGGTGTTCAAATAATGGAGAGGATGGAGTAAAAGACTCTTCTTTTTCGGATATGAGAGCCATTGAAGTGCGGAGGGATTGATTGCACTTCTCCAAAGTTTTCATCATCTCGTCTAAGCGGCTTGGAGAAGCTTCTCGAGTCGGCTCGAGTGAAGGTGTGGCATCATAAAAATCGGGGGGCGGGGGATAGAAGTGAGGCGTCTCATCGTGACTCGGAATGTAATAACCATAATCGCCTTGAGATGTCGGGTAGAAATGTTTCGGGTCATACCCTTGGGATGTAGAGTATCCGTCATACGAATAGGAAGGTGAATAGCTCGGATACGGATGGGGCGGCCCTCCATACATGTACATCTCCTCTTGATAATTGTCGGGGTGTCCACAAGACGAGCTACCGGCATAAAAATAGTCGAATTGATCCATTGGAGCACCTCAAGTGAAACACCTCGCACAAGAAGAATAAAACAACCCAACGGNTAATCTCTCTCTCGAAAACTCATATTGCTCGATCAAAATGGCTCGACTAACTCGTGTCGGAACGGCTCAACATCAAAATCATGGATAGTGGCTCAGAAATGGCTCGGACAATAACTCGGAAAATGGTTAGTTTCCCCAAACATGTATAATGGACCTACAAAACACACCAAAAGAGACGCGAAAATACGACAAAATACAAAAACACATAACGAGAACAAAAACACATAAAACACGATTAAATGGACCGGTTGACACAAAACCGAACCTAAAAACGCAAAACTAAAACACATAAATCACACGAAAATAAGCACAAAAACACAATAAACAGGTATACACTACTAATAAAATCTATATTTAAAGTTTATATTTTTTTTTTACCGAAAAAAATTCCTTAATTTAAGGAATGATATATCTTCAATCAGTTCACATATATATACATACATTCTTCACAATTTTAAATCTTGAATTTGATGAGAATTCATATCTATGAGTGCAAAATATGGTTTAACAAATTAAATTTTATTATTATTCCAGCCATACTTCTTTATACGATTTTTTGTGAAAATACAAAAGTAAATTCTTAATTTTAAATCAGCCGTACATTAAAGAGTACAAATTTGTTGAAATTACAAAAATAGTTTTTTACTTTTAAACAGACATAAATTTAAATCAGTTATAAAAAAGTAATATTTGTTTACCATTTAAATAATAAATCAACCGTAATTAATGTTGTTTGTTTTAGTTGCCACGATTTTCTCCAAACTAAATTAACAACTGCCATGATTTAAGGGCAACATTTAATGCTGCTCTATTTTTAGGAGACATTAAATGTATTTGGCGGGAAAAACTTGCTAAAAGTGTTAAATGGTTAATCTTTTAATATAATAATAGATTACAATTTTTTTTTTTTTTCGAAACGATAGGAATTCATTCATATCACTGAAAATGTATTTACAACCCGGGAGGTTAAGTAACCTCATATCAAAACAAGAGAGTACCGATCAACAGTCGGCCTACAATAACAAAATACATAACTAGCAGCTAGAGGCAAGAATACAACTTGGATCCTTCAGCCACCGCAATACATGATTAACTTAAGCCATCATACTAATGAAGTAAAATAATTCAACAGGCAACCTAGCTAGATAATGCAATAACCACTGAACCGTAATGGACCTAGCTACCACATTCCTAGCTAATGAGGAGAGCTTTTAGCCATTCTGAATTCCAAAACATATAATTCATTTTCTCTTTCCTTCGAGTTTTTTTGGATTGAATTTAACAAGCACTGTAAAGTGAAACATGATTATTGTTATTTTAACATCAAAGAAACAAGTTTCTTGAATAAGAAACAAGTTTCTTATTCAAGAAACTCGTTTCTTGAGAAACTGTTTTTTGACCAAGAAACTGTAGTTATTTCTTAATCAAGAAACACTTCTTAAACTTTAATTGTAGTCAATGGTTTACATAAGAGTCTGAGTTCATATTTTCTTGCATTTTAGCTTCTATATCTCGTCTCTGTGTGTATACTGTTCTGTGTTCATTTTGGAAATGCGCAAATATATAAACTGGATTTTTTGCTCATTTTGTTAGTGTTTTAATTTATTTTTATAATGTTAAATGCATTTCAACAATTAAAATACTTATGAATACTATTAAGAATTTTTCTGTAATGTTGATGTTTAAATTGAAACCAAGAATTGCCAACTTCTACTCATAACAAAACAAAACAATGCTCAACTCATAATAAAAGTACAAACAAAAAATAAGGCTAAACTTTTGAATTGAAGCGAAGTAAGAAACAAGAAACAGGTTTTCTTGAGGAAGAAACAGGTTTCAAGAAACTAGTTTCTTACTCAAGAAACTTGTTTCTTGTTCAAGAAACTAGTTTCAGAGCTCAAGAAACCTGTTTCAAGAAACTTGTTTCTTGTTCAAGTAACCAGTTTCTTGCTCAAGAAACATGTTTCTTGACAGATTTGTAGCCGAAAAACAAGTTTCTTGCTCAAGAAACATGTTTCTTGACAGATTTGTAGCCCATCGAGCACGATGGACCCCACAAACAAACTTTCCGAGATCCGACAACCATTGCCTGAGCCGTCACAAGCACCACCGAGTCGTCGGGAACCACCACGACCACGACCACAGCCGCCACCAGAACCGACAGAGCCACCAAGGCCAAGGCTGAGGGAGAGAATCCGGCAGCATTCTTGAGCAGGCTCAAGAGGCCGAGCTCCTCGGCCTTGGACAAAAGGCCGAGTTTTTATATGGACGAGAGGGTAAAACCGAGCTCCTCGGCTTTCGAGAGGAGGCCGGATTTCTCGACATAGCTCTGGACCTTTCCGCTTTTCGAGCTTCTTGAACACGTCGAACTCGAGTTCTTCACTGCCCTCGTAGAATAATCCTGCCGCGAACAATTGTTTTTTCCAGCCTGATCGTGTTTGTTCACCTTTATTTTATTTTTTTTTGGAGTAATTAATAGATGACAAGAAAGCGTATTTTAATTTGATGTTTTCGGTTAAATATTTATCTTCGACTTAATTTAAAAAATGTACCACATCAAGTGCATTCTCTAGGCATGAAAAAAGAAGTTTTGAATGAGATATTCTGGTGCCTAATTTTACAGAATCGGCTCCTCGTCCAGGTCTAATCGAAGACGGTTACAAAGTTTCACAACTTCTTCAGGATCCATGGATTTCACAGAGAACAAACACCAAAACTACAAGAAACCTAACATGAAAAGCTGGGGAGATAGGACGCCTTAAATTCCCGTACAACCATCGGCCCCCAAAACCTCCATCGCGATTACTTTTAAGTAACTTGAAAAGCCCTAATTTCCGAGATGAAACGAGAATTTACCTTTGAGAGTTTTTGCTGGAAAATTAGAATTGAGAGAAGAAAAGAAGAGAAACAAAGAGGAAGTAAAAAAAAAAACGCTCAAAAACAGCTACGAAATTCGATTGCCGGAAAGAATTCAGACCAAATGGTTGAAAAAAAAAACCCAAATCACCCTACGAAGAGAGAGAAAGAGAGTTAGTGGAGATGTGTTATTGTTGTTGGTAGTAAACTGATGACTCTTTTTTCTTCTTTCAGTAGTTGAAAAAGGTAGAATTGTATTTTTAACCCCTAAAATGGCTATATTTAATTCGTTTAGAAAATGTGGCTATATTTCATTTTTTCCTTCAAAGAATGGCTAAAAAACTTGGCCTCTGTATTATTAATGCATCTGTTTATGCTAACTACATTGAAGAAGGCATAAAACTTGGGCCTAACAAAGATGAACTTAAGTTACTGAGAAGTAGGCTACAACCAAACTGACAGTAGTAAGTGCAATAGGCCCAGTATGTAGAGGCCCATTGGTCAGAACGAAATAGGAAAAAAAAATAAATTAACTTTCTAATTTAGATTTGCTAACCGTGACACAAATCGTAGGCCCGCCCCTTCTTCTATTTTCTCCGCCGTCCGCCGCCTCTCTCCTCCATCCTCCGCCGTCCCTGAAACACCATAACAAGATATGAACCACCATCGCAGCCACAACTCGGTGTCTGACGGGAAATAGAGCTCGTATTTTTCAGTTTTTCTTATTTGTTGACCTAGTTTCGTGACCGGCGATAGACGGCGTCGTCCTACACCATACACGTCGACATCAACTATTTTTGAACTGTGAGTATATATAAAACCGTTGTATAACTCTAGCTTAATGATTAGCATCGTCCCACCATTGTATTTGTGTAATAATAATGACAACCAAACAAAATGCAAATGAGCCTCAATTACTGAGCACAGGAAGATTAACTATATTGTTTGTGAGTCCAAAGTTTGCATTTTTCTCGCTAGCCTTTTGGTTCATGAGGCTCAATTTGAAGCGATATTTCGAGCACAAACATTGTATTAGCATAACCCCGTGTGTGCATTTGTATCTCCCTGTGTGTATTGATCTCGTTCATTGTATTTGGTACTTGTTAGGGGTGTTTTTCACTCATAATATGCCTCAGCCTAGTCCCGTATTTTTAAAAGCGCAGCTTAGCGCGCTACGTCGCGCGAAATAGCGCAAATCTCCTGAAAAATGCGCCGTAGCGCTCGTATTTTAGCGCAATTCCAACATAGTGTACGGCTTTGATGACGTGGCACGCATTTTTCGGATAGCGTACGCGATTTGTGCTATAGCTTAAATTCTGCACGCTATTTGGGACCCTAAAAAAATTGAAGGCAAAAAATTAAAAAAGAAAAAAAGAAAGAAAAACAAAATTGAAGGCGACGAAAATCACAATCAGAAACTCAGAAATCAGAATTCACGAAACCCTCATTTCACTTCTCTTCATCATCTCCCTCTCGGCCTCTCCACCGCAGCCTCCAAGGATCCAACACAGCCCAACTCTCTTCATCATTTCACTTCTCACATCCTCTGTTTCCTCGACTCTCGTCTCTCGCTCTCGCCTTTCGCCCAGCTCTCGGCACCCCCAAAGTCCCTTCTCCTCGGCTCTTTGTACCCTACATCCCTTGCACGGTTGCACCTCGACTTTCAACTCCAAAGGTATCATTTTGTTTTTCATTTGAGATTATTAATAGCTTCAGTGAATGATTTCGTTTTCTCGCTCTCGCCTTTCATTTTTTTTTTTTTTTTTTTTGAAGCTGCTTCACAGAACATGAATTGAAATTGGCCCTCTTCTAGTGAATTATTTCGATTTTTTTTTAAATTAGAGTGAGATAAAAGGATTGATGGAGATTGATGTTTGATTGCATTTTTTTTATGTGTATTTTTCGATTTTTTTTTTTTTATTAGAGTGAGATATAAAGATTGATGGAGATTGATGTTTGATTGCATTTTTTTTATGTGTATTTGCCTATTTGCTGATTGGGTCTGGCTATTTTTTTTAATGATTCAGAGTATATAGAAGACTAGAAGTATAGAACAGATCTATTTAATTTGATGATTCTATTGTAGTTGAATTGTGTCCTGATTCTTGAATATATGAGTATGGAACATATAAGACATAAATGAATTGTGTCCTGAATTATTTCCATTTGGTAATGGAACATCAGTGAGGTATTTAAAGAAGTATGCAGTTGTTTTTTATTAGAATGATTGATTAAATGTTTCTAAACTTAAATTATTAGTTTGTTTATTATTAATGTTAAGAAAATGGATCCAAACATAACTGAATAGATGAAGAGATTACTGTTTTGTTGTGATTACTGTTCTTATTACAGTCAAATAATAAATTGGATGAGACCAATTATTTTTAGATTTTGAGTCTTTACTTTGATGATTATGACTTTGGGTTGTTGTATGAACTAATATTTGAATGTTGTTTTTTAGATTTAATGTCTAAATTTATGGTTTTAAGACTATTTTAATTATTTATTTACTTGTAGGGTTATATATATTATTATTTTTGGCATTTAAAGTGAACTGCTCGAATAGCTTACTCAATGCGCTACGCTATTTACGCTACGCAATATCAGGACCAAAACGCGACGCGATGCGCGATTTAAAACACTGGCCTAGTCTCAAGCCATGCCGTAAAATCTTCTTCGCGAATGACTCAATTCGGCCTTGCGAACAAATTCGGTGGATGACCTCCAGCAAAAGGGTTCAAGACCGGAGCAAGAACAAACGCGTGCACGACCTAGAAATCGTGACCGAAAAACACAAGATGGTTATGAAGATCCTACACTTGTTCGAGATTCTCAAATCCGAGCCCGAAAACATAATCCCCTTGAGAAATCTCGACCAACACCGCAGGCAAATCAACCTCCCCAAGCCCCACAAGATCTCCGATTTCCTCCGCAAGTCACCCAAGCTTTTCGAACTGTATAAAGACACTAGAGGCGTGGTTTGGTGTGGCATGACAGAAAAAGCCGAAGACTTAGTGAAGGAGGAGGAAGAATTAATCGAGAAAAATGGCGAAAAGGCTGCTGAGCACGTCACTCGGATGTTAATGATGTCAGCGGATAAGCGGCTGGCGCTCGATAAGATTGCGCATTTTAGGCGCGATTTTGGGCTGCCGATTGATTTTAGAAAATATTGGGTTCATAAATATTCGGAAAACTTTCGGGTCGTGCAGCCATCTAAGCCTCTCGACGAGAGTGAGTATTTGGAGCTTGTCACTTGGAGGCCTGGTTGGGCGGTGACTGAACTGGAAAAGACGGTTTTACCCCTGAAGGAAGGGCTGAGTTTCGATGAACATGTACCCGGATGGCTTTCATTGGCTTTTCCCTTGAAATTCCCCTCGGGTTACAAGAAAATGTATAGATACAGTGGGAAAGTTGAGCATTTTCAAAAAAGGCAGTATTTATCCCCATATGCGGATGCGAGTGGCTTGCAAGCGGGTTCCCTCGAGTTTGATAAACGGGCGGTGGCCGTGATGCACGAGCTGCTGAGCTTTACTCTCGAGAAGAGATTAGTGACTGATTATTTGACGCATTTTAGACGGGAGTTTACTATGCCACAGAAGCTGATGAGGCTTCTACTGAAGCACCTGGGTATTTTCTATGTCTCGGAAAGGGGAAAGAGGTTTAGCGTGTTCTTGAATGAGGCTTATGATGGTCCTGAGTTGATCAAGAAGGATCCGTTGGTCGTTTGGAGGGAGAAAGTTCTGAGATTTGTCGGTCACAGGGGAAAGAATAAGAAGAAAATTGGGTCTTTTGAGGAATTTTCAGATGAGGAGAATAGTGAGGCTTTGCTCGGAAGTGATTGTGAAGAAGATGACCAGCTGCAGATTGAACCCTTGGAGAATGACAGGTTGAGCTGTTTAGAGGATGATGGTTCTGAAATGGAAATTGAAGAAGTTTGCAGGGCGTACAATGACTGAGGGGGTGATTGGATATGAATTCAACTAGTAAAAAACTAGTTTTTTCTTAACTATAGTTTAGTTTGAAAAAAAGTAGTATGGTTAGTTGCTAGTGGATATAGTAAAATAATATTTAAATTAAAATAGTTAAAGTTGATTTGATGTAAAAGTAAGAGAAAATGATTGGAAGTGATGGTTAGTTAAAATTATGTGAGTGTGTGAATAGTGAATTAAAGTTGATGTGGTGTGTAATAATGATTAGTTGATATTATTTAATTATATTGATAATATTGGAGATAGTGGAGTTGAGTTAAATTTGAGTTTTGAGTGGGATATTTACTGTAGAAATTATATACAATCACGCCCTGAGTAACCACAAGGTCTGGATATCTTCTTCTCGGCTATGTTCCCTAATTTGTTCACTGTGCAGCCTATGCATTTAATCTGTCTGAAGATCAAAAATTTGAAAACACGACTGTTTCTGAATTTTAGTACTTTGTAGAGTGGACAGGCAATGTGTATTGGAGGAGGGATTTGTAGTGATTCTCTCTTCCAAATTTGTCTTGTATGACATGTTGGGAAAGAATGCTTCACTTGGTATCTACGTTTTGGATTCAAGTGGGAATTTTACAGATACTAAAATTGATTACACACGATTGTTAGAATATCAGTTTGCTATGAAGCCAACAGCTGGCTCGATAGTGGAGTCAACATTAACAAATAAACCTACCATATTCTCTGATTACTTAAATAACAACAATATAATTTTATTAATATGGTAGGTTTGTTTGTTGTATATAGAACCACTACAGAGTCAACTGTTAGCTTCATAGCAAAACCAATTAAAATATATATATAAAAAAAACAAAATGAAGTAAATTACCGGTAGAAATCCAACCCACTGTCATTTGTCCATTGTTAGCTTCATAGTAAAACCAATTAAAATATATATATATATAAAACAAAATGAAGTAAATTACCGGTAGAAATCCAACCCACTGTCATTTGTCCATTTCACGTCGAAATTGAAACTAGTCCTATTTATCCTTAAGTATATTTTTGTCTCGTTAAAATCATTGAAACTAGTTCTATTTATCCTTAATTATATTTTTGTCTTGTTAAAATTTTGATTTAATCAGATATATTATGTAAGCAATAATATTATCATCTTTTCCAAATTTTGCAATTCTGATTTCAAAAAATTGGAGCTAATTTTGTAATCAGAACATAAAATTAGATCTATATAACTAGAATAAGAACAATTTTGGATACATACCAATTTAATTTTAGGATAAGACATGACAATTTTGGATACATACCAATTTATTTTTTCATTAAAAAAATGTGGAACAATTATAATTATAACTAACTCCTAATGGTATGATTGGTAGAAAGGAATGACATGGGGATCATTCCTTACTCGTTCTTTATCCCATGATTGGTATATTTTTTGGGAAGAAAATGACCATTCCAATGAGAATGGCAAAACCCATCTCCATGGGATTAGCCATTTCATAGTAAATGGAAGGTTTTTTCATTCCATGTGTGTAGGAAATCAATTTTTCAAAATTAAAATTAACAAATAATAATAAAAAATAAATAAATATATAATATATAAAATAAATCATGATTGAAATATATTAAATAAAATTATTTAAAAAAATTATTCAAATAAAATAATTGAAAACTTACTATTATTTATTTTTTAATTAGATATATTATATTATATGATAAAATTATATGATAAAATTATAAAAGAATATAATTATTACTCAGCATAAATTATAACGTTATGTTGTAACAAATAAAAAAAAAGTTGGAATCGAATTATTTTTCCACTAAATTCTTTACCCCACATCATCTCTATATATAATTTCAGAATGCGTTGAGCCTACGTGGCAAACTCTCATGCTTCGAAATTCTATTTGGCAAAAAATCATGGCAAACAATCATGCTTTGGAGTTAGGATATAAATTAATATTTTTTATCAAAATAATATATTCCCTAATTGTTATGTAGTCAAATAGTAAAATCGAAATTATTTTGATAGTTATGTTATGTAATCATCCAATTTGCAATTTTTACTATGATTTGGTAAAATAAAATTGTAAAATCGAAATTATTTTGATGTTATATCTTTGTTTTGTTTTAAGTTTCTATTTTCTTAAAAAGAAAAATATTCAGAATTCGATCGGAATATCGCGCCAGAAAAACAAGGGAAAAGGCAATTATTGACAAACATTGATAAGAAAAAATGAGATCTTGGATATTTTTTACAAAGAGAAAAAACGTGTGATTTGCCGATAACATGGAGAGAAATGAGCATGAATTATAGAATGCTCGGATGATTTAAGTCGAGGTTTTGTAACGCTTTTTTGGTAATCGGTCTTACCGGTTGCCTGATTCTTTTTTTTTTTTAAAAAAAAAAAGTTGTATTGAGGTGTATTTGAAAAATTAATTTGTTTGGACTTTACCAAATTGGGTTCATTAAACAAATAGCCTTACTGGGAAAATCGGTCAAGTCATCCTTACAAGTTTTTTAATAAAAAATTAAGCCCAACTCACCACATTTTTTGTAAGATGTTATCCAACCTAATTCAGCAGATGTTTATAATGCAATATTTTGTTCAATAGATAATTTCGACCCAAATGTTTAATAATGCAATTGTTAAATAATATTTAGAATCATTTTCTTAGTTCATATTTTTTATTCGTAAATTAAATTGTGATTTATTTTTGTTTTTTTCTTTTTATATTGTTATCTTTTCTAAGTATTATTATGTGCAAATGCACAGGTTGATTACTAATACGTAAAAAAATTAAACACGGATTGATATTTTTATTTAATGTACGGGTGTTTAATTATTATAATTAAAAGAAATATAATTTGACAATTTAATTAAAACCTAGAGTAATGTTTTATATAAAATTAAATTATTTTAGTTTTTAAAAAAATAAAAAAAATTTAATATTTTTTATAAAAACTTTCTAATTCAATTCCCGTATAATACACTGGAATTGTAATTGTTTGCTTAAATAAAAGAAAAAGATTGGAGAGAGGAGACATCAATAAAAAAAGGGAAGCTGAGAGTATTCTAGTGTCGACACTGCCTATCATCATCTTCATCGTTCACCTATAAATCAAATATACTTCCACTTCTCAGTAGTACCTCGTTCCCATTTCCCACCATCACGGAGGAGAGATAGATACACAGATAGAGAGAGAGAGAGAGAGAGATGTCGTGTCTGGCATCGTGCTGTGCGTCGATGACGTGCGGGCTCTGTTCATCGGTGGCATCTGGCATCACAAAACGCTCTGCTAGAATCGCTTACTGCGCCCTCTTTGGTTTTTCTCTAATTGTTTCTTGGATTCTCAGAGAGGTCGCTGCGCCTCTTCTCAAACACTTCTCTTGTAAGCTAATTAAATACTCACAAGCCAAAAAAAAAAATTAAAAATTAATAATAATTGTTGTTGGGTAAAATTTATGGACTTAAGGATGTACGATTGTTCGTTTTTTAGATGCTTCTTGGGTTGTTTTGAAGTTGGCTCGTTTCATTGTTACTGACCTGTTGTTTTCTTTTATGATCTGCTTTGCATCTGTTGATTAATCTTGAATTTTTCAACATAATTTTTAGTTCGAACAAATATTCTCGGTGCTTATTGTTGGATGAGGTAGAGTCAATTGGCTTGCAGATGGCGAATATAACTGTGTTATGTGTATCTTTTGGGGTTTCTTCATTGAGCTTTTCCTGGTCTTTTTCCCTTTATCCTTTGAAATTCGAGGAAGTATTGAACTAATGGAGAAATTTAGTGATGACTGACTTTTATGTCTGACTGATTGCTATATTCATGAATTGAACTGCTTGGACTAAAGATGGTTTCACAAAAGCTGAAACTTCTTTTTGGATATGTATGATAGGGATAAATACTTCAGATAACCTGTCGAATGAATGGTTCCAGATGCAGGCTGTCCTTCGTGTCAGCTTGGGGAACTTTTTGTTTTTTGGAATATTAGCAGTTATAATGATTGGGATCAAAGATCAAAATGACAGACGTGATTCTTGGCATCACGGTGGATGGGTTGTTAAGATGCTCGTTTGGGCTTTGCTAGTCATCCTCATGTTTTTCCTACCCAATGTCGTCATAACAGTGTATGGTGAGTCATTTTGGTCATAATTTTCCAAATATATGTAGACATTGTTACTTTTTTTTTTTTGCTTTCTGGTAGAAACTGTTAAAGAAACTAATACATCTTATCTGGTATCAATATGCTGTCTTACATAGTGGTTCTTGTGCTAGCCATTCATACCATCTTAATATATTAGAGGTTAAACAAAGATTGTTTATCATTTGCTTTAAACTTGTGAAGCATTCAATGTAATTGATCCAAGTTCTATTGTTTGTGACAGATGTTTCAATTGAGCAACTTTTTCCTTTGAGATTTTGGTTTAACGCATTATGCACTCTTAATTTAAATATGATGGAACAAAACCTTATTTGATTAGTGAGTTATTGACATGAAGTTCGGTAAATTTAGTTTGTCTTGATTAATCATGACGAGTTTATTGTCCATGTAGGAGTACTTTCAAAATTTGGTGCTGGGTTGTTTTTGTTGGTCCAAGTCATAATACTGTTAGATGCCACACATTCATGGAACGATTCATGGGTTGCTAAGGATGAGCAAAAGTGGTAGGTTCCAAGTATATATTCTTCCTTATTTTTTGCATTGGTTAATGTGTTTTATTTGCATTCTTTCCATTCTATTTTTTCAGGTACCTCGCCTTGCTTGCTGTATCAGTAGCATGTTATATTGCAACATTTACGTTTTCTGGGTTACTGTTCATATGGTTCAATCCATCCGGGCATGACTGTGGACTCAATGTGTTTTTCCTTGTAATGACCATGATTCTTGCATTCCTTTTTGCCGTCTTTGCTTTACATCCCAAGGTAAACAAAAAATTGCATTTTTGTTTTATGCCAAAGATCATAATAGAAATGCGTATACTAGGTGAATAGAAATTTAGTCCCAGATTACTCTTGGACTTGGGAGTTGGGAGGTTTATTATATTTTAATGTGGCAATGTTAGTACATAACACCTTTAATAGGTAATTTGATATTTTGGTTAGAACAAACGAGATATGGAACCGGCATTTGAAATATAGAACTCATGAAGCGAAACTGCTATCTCGCATACTCGCCAGACCAAAATGACAATAGTGCCCTTATAACTACCGAATCTGTTTCACAATTAAGCCTCTTAGCAAGTATTTGATGTTCATTTCCGACCACATATGTATGTACTAAAAAAATGTTATTTTACATTTTGCTGAGAAGGAAGATACTTAATTCTTAATATTTAGAATAGCAGTTTCGGGGCTACTGCTGCATAATAATAATGTAGAGCCGAAACCATAAATTGAGAGCCATCCATACTTGATTTAAATGTTCCTTTGGTCCTTAGGGCTTCAAAAAGTCATAATCCATAAAACTGGCTGTAGTTTGAATTCTTTCTGTTCTTCTTTAGTTCTTTTTCCTTTTTCCTTATCAACCTAGCTTAAATGTTTGGCTAATTCTACAATTGAAATTTCTTTAGAACTTGTCGAGGGACTAGTTGCATAACTCGTTTTGGAGAAACTTGTTTATTTATTTATTTACTTTTTTTTTTCATAAATAGGTTAATGGCAGCCTCTTGCCCGCATCTGTTATATCCGTGTATTGTGCTTACGTGTGTTACACGGGTCTCTCTAGCGAACCTCGAGATTACGTTTGCAATGCCCTTCACAACAAGTCCAAAGCCGTAACAACGAGCACCCTTGTTCTTGGGATGCTTACTACAGTCCTTTCAGTTCTGTATTCCGCACTTCGTGCAGGCTCGTCAACTACCTTTCTGTCCCCTCCATCTTCCCCTAGAGCAGGTACTTCTAACTTGTTCAATATCTTCTGAAACCCACGATTAATTCCAAAAACGTATACCTAAGATTTAATCTAACTACAAAGAAAAGAAAAAGCCTTAGGGTGTGTTTTTGTATACAAATAATATCAATTCATACTTAATTCATACTCAAAATCTAAAAATTTAAGTCAACTTTAACTCATTCCCACTATCCCTAATATTATCAATATAATTAAATAATATCAATCGATCAATTATTGTTAAACATCACATCAACTTTAATTCACTATTCATCCACTCATATAATTTTAACTAACCATCACTTCACATCATTTCTTTCCTACTTTTACATCAAATCAAGTTTAATTATTTTATTTTACATATTATTAATATAAGTTTAAAATCCCACCAACAACTAACCGTATCACATTTTTTTCTTCTTCAAATTAACTCTGGTTAACCAAAATAACCCATTTTGAGCAGATACATTTGTATACAAACACGTCTTGTTACAAAAAGGCGAGTAAATTTTTTTGTGTTTACTTTTTTTCTCCCCAAGAGCTTTTTTTTGGACATTTTGTGAAAATTATTATATGTCTAGCAGGTGGTGATAAGAAACCCCTTTTAGAATCGGACGAGCTTGAATCAGGCAAAGGAAAGGAGATAATAGCAAGTCCAGTCAGCTACTCGTACACATTCTTCCATCTGATATTTGCTCTAGCAAGCATGTACTCAGCCATGCTTTTGTCTGGATGGACGAGTAATTCTGATAATCCGGACCTCATTGATGTGGGCTGGACCTCTGTTTGGGTCCGTATATGCACTGAATGGGTCACGGCTGGGCTTTACCTTTGGTCTCTTGTGGCTCCTCTTATCTTGCCTGATCGTGAATTCTAGAGATTCTCCAAATATTAAAGTCGGAGATTGAGAAAAAGGGTTTTTAGCTGTTGGGATGTTATTATGTATTTGTGTATATGTTCACTGCATCATAGCTTCAGTTGGTTGGGTTTGTTATTAATTAATAATTATGCTATTCTCACACGTTCACTACAGTGGAGTTGATTTGTGTTATGTGTATTTTCTACTTGGACAACTCAATCTAGTAGATATCCATATGTTTTTTATTAGACATATGGGCGTGACAAACAAACTTTCTGTGTAATAGCATGAAATTACCCTAATTAACGCAACGTAGGATTTGTTTGTTTTTTAGCAGATTGGATTTTGTTTAGTAATAATATTTGTTAATTGTCTTATCATTTTGAAAAAAGTAAAATATAATCACTTTTTGTGGAAATATGAAAAATAGTTGTAAAATAACACAATTACTTTTATTATCAGAATTTCTTATTGTTTAGAGCAAGAATAAGGATAATCGTGTTATTTCACAAGACTGAATGATTATATTTTATTGAAATCAGTTCTATGGTTATATTTCATTTCCGAAAGTACAAAAATACTTAAAAAGAAGTGGGACAGTGTCATTTAATTTTTGATCAATTAAATATTATTTTATTTAATAATGAGCTTATTTGATTAGTTTCTTATAGGGGAAATTTCATTGTAAGACTTGACTTTTTGTTATTATGTCACTATAAGGCCTGAATTGTTAACTTTTTCATTTCAAGGTTTTAATTTTATGTTGTTCTCAATATAAGGCCTATTTTTACCTTTTACTTTTCAATTTAAGACTCCAAATCACTTTGTATTTTGATATAATTATGTAAACAACAATACTTTTTTTTAAAAATTTATTTATGTAAACAACAATACTTTTTTTTTAAAAATTTATATTTTAAGTACTTATAATGAAAAATATTAAATATCTTTAATAAAATTATCTAATAAGAAATATGTGACAACATTAAATTATAAACCATTTAGAAAAATAATTTTAATTTTTTAAATAAACTTATAGAAAATATTATTTGTGAATAGAATTTATATTTTTTTAAAAATTTAAAAATATGTAAAATTAATACCTAAAAAATTCTATTGTAGGTAGTTTTATTCACAAATAATATTTCTATAAGTTTATTAAAATATTTTTCTAAATAGTTTATATTTTAATGTTATCACATATTTAGATTAAAATTAGGTTAATTTTTTTATTTAACTTTTAAAATAAATTTCATTGAGCTTTTGCATAAATGTGAATTATTGAATAATTATTTTATTAGATAATTTTATTAAAGATATTTAATATTTTTCATCATAAGTACTTGAAAAATAAATTTTAAAAAAAGTATTGTTATTTACATAATTATATCAAAATACAAAGTCATTTGAAGTTTTAAATTGAAAAGTAGAATGTAAAAGTAGGTCTTATATTGAGAGTAACTTAAAATTGAAATTTTCAAATGAAAAAAAGTTAAAAATTCAGGTCTTATTGTGACACAATAATAAAAAATCAAGCCTTACAATGAAATTTCCCGTTTCTTATACTAGTTCTGACAAGCTCAAAAGAGTAGTGTTAGAGTAAAAGAGGATTCAAAAAATTCAATACATCACAGCTATGACTTTCTGCAATTTAACAAACTTTTATTTGATAAAATCTTTCAAGAAGTAATTTTATAACTATCACTACCCTAGTGATTAATTCATATCCTTCTAAATTCATCTTTAATAAAAAATCTTATTGTCAAATCTATTTCACTGTTTAAATTAAATTCATCACTTACCCAACAAACTTATTTTTAAATATATTTCACTATTTACTTAAATGTGTTAAGTCAAACAATAATTTCACAACATTTCCTTCACTTTTATATAACTAGTAATTACCCGTGCGATGCACGGGATGATATTTTTCATGTAATTTTTGTATATTCAAATATTTAATTCAATGAACTTGTTATATTTGTAACAAAAGTAAACACGTTGGGCGCAAACTACAAAATTCATAAATTATTGAAAACTTCTTTGTACACAACGTTTTTTGTTTGATTTGGCGTCGAGTCATCGTCACCACAAACTAAAATTTTCAAACCACTTCGGGTGGTGACACGGGATGCAGCAACGTATAACTGTCCATGGCTGAACACAGGCTTCTTAAGAAATAAACCAACATGCGACAACGATTGTCCCTGGCTCTTGTTGATAGTCATGGCATACGATACCATAATAGGAAACTGACGCCTCTGGAACTTGAAAGGAATTCGGACATCGGAAGGAGTAATAGCCATTCTAGGAATTAACACCTTCTCGCCTGCGTGATCCCCAGTCAGTATCTTACACTCGATAACATGAATGGAGAGTTTTGTGACAACCAACCGCGTTCCATTGCACAGACCCATAGAATGATCCATGTTACGCAACAACATGACGGGAGTTCCAATCTTCAAGTGCAATTGATGATTTGGAATTCCGGAACATTTGATACTATTTAAGAATTCAGGCGTGTGGATATCAGACAGGAAATCGTTATTAGAGTCTGACTTGCAAGTACTATCAGAACTTAAATACATTTGACCGTCAGATAAATTCAACGATGTCATGTACTCATTGATAGACTCAACAACATCAAGCGTAGGAGCTAATATTGCCCTGTCCTTTAAATAACTGGGATCATCGATTGCCTGTTTAAACATTGGATAGGTGCTCTCTACAATTTGGGCAATCGGATCATCAGAGGGCTGAAGCATTATATCCTCAGGTATGTCAATCATCGCACAACCATCATTATCCCCTCCTATGGTTCCATCTCCAATGCTCGCTATCCATTCTGCGAACCGAGCAACCTCTTCACGTTCTTCTGAATTCCTAAGGCTTTCAAGACGCATGTTTTTCGTAAGCCGGAGCACAGTACAACTCCTCCAGATATCAGAAGCATTAATCGCAGCATTCACTATGTCCTGACGGCTACCCTTCGGTATTACAGGAAGAATTTGTCGGAAATCTCCACCAAACACAACCGATTTGCCTCCAAATGGTTTGTCCTTGTTAGAAGGATCAATTGCTCCCATAATATCCTGCAATGATGTTTGGACAGCTTCGAAGCAATGCTTGTGCATCATTGGAGCCTCATCCCAAATAATCAGAGAAGCACGTATTATCAATTCTGCGAGACAACTTTCCTGACTGATATTGCAAGAGGATTCCTGGTGGGGATTCAATGGTATTCCAAATCGAGAATGAGCCGTTCGTCCACCAGGCAACAAAAGCGATGCTATTCCACTCGATGCTATGCACAACACTATGCCACCTTTGCATCTAATACCAGCAGATAACGTTCTCCACAAATAAGTCTTGCCCGTTCCACCATATCCGGATACAAAAAAAACACCGCCTCGACCAGAATCAACAGACGACATAATGGTTGAATAAACTCCTTTATGTTCATCGGTCATTTTCTTAAGAAGCATTTCGTGTTCAGCAGCAAGAGCCTTTCGATCATAATTTAACTCATCTATAATCAGACGATTTGAACTTGAATGCATACTGTCACTATCCGGAAAGGGCATAGTTGAATAATCACTCAGACTTGCTCCACGACGTTTCAGTAAATACTCAATCTCAGCAAGAGCAAGATTTTGGATTTGTTCATCAGTAAGCAACAAACCTAAAACAAAATGATACATAAGCAACAAACGAATAAAAAAATTATTGAAGTTAATTATTAAAATTTTAAAATTACCATCATTGTTGAATAGTCGACGTTGTCTATACAGAATGTCGTCCGACAAAAAGTGCCAACATCTTGTCCATACCTCCTCCGGTCTACCAAATGAACCAGACACCAACAATGATGCAAACATGCGTCTTAGAGAGTCTGCAGATGCCCACTGACTTGCTTCGGTTATGCCATCGATGTACTCCCTGTCATCCTCCAACAAACCCCATTCGTAGCAAGCATCTCGATATGTCATATATTGAGTCTCTCCGACCTTCATGTAGTCCTCATGACATGTTGCACCACGAACGACATTGATCAAGCACCTTAAATAGTAATCATCTCCACAACCGGGAGGCACGTACCGCAGACGACCTACAGATGGTTGGTCTTCGTTTTTCCTAGGAGTCCACACACGCGTTTTTTGGAGATACTTTTTGGAGTCCACTCAGATGGTTGGTCTTCGTTTTTGGATTCCACACGAATTTAGATGGTGCCTCAACATAAGTTAGTTCCCTCGCCTTGGGATACTTTTTGTTTGCTTCAAACCACGCAAGAAACTGGCTCTCCTGTACAGATTCTTTACTGAGTACATACTGAAGATTATCATCATCATCAAAAAAAACTTGATGCTTTCCTTTCAAATGGAAACTCAATCTCTGGACAGGAGGTTTTTTGTACTGCAACTTATAACCCAACAACCGCCATGCAGCCTCACATGAAGATATGTACCTGCAATCATAGTACAAGTTAATCTCATCCAAAGGCTTTTCAGGTTCCCCTTCGGCAAACGTTTTATAGAATGATGCGGTCACACGATCGTGCCCCTTATTTACATATTTGAAAAGGTATTTTATCGATCGTGATTGATTGCACCACTCAACATTGATGTGAGCTCTGAATTTCATCAAAAGACCACGATTATGAGGCACGACATATCCATTGTGGACAACAACACCGTTTTTATCAATAGACCTCCCATCATCACGACGCATGTAGCGAGGATAACCTTCATCATCAACGGTTGTTGAGTCTACAAACTGTTTTGGAAACCGCTTGCTGCATTTCCCATCAACCATACACGGCGACCCTTTTCGTACCAAACCACATGGACCATGAATCATGTGCTCCTTTACTGCTTCATAATACAGAGGATCAGATAACTCATCTGGTATCTCAGCTGATATGATCCTGTCAATATCTGAAGGATTAGGGAACTTGTTCTCCTTAGCCAAAAACAACAGTATATGGGCATGGGGCAATCCGCGTTTTTGAAACTCAATTGTGTAGACGACTGCCAAAAAAAACTTATAAAATTAAACAAAAAATATTTAAGTTATGTAATGATATTGTGTAAATTTAATTGTTAATGAAAAAGATATTGGTGTATGATAAATGTTATGAAATAATATCTGACCTGCGATCACCTTGCCAAATATCTGCTTAGTACGGAAATCCCTAATCATTTCTTTAAGTTTTGCCCTGAATACTCTGCAAACAATATCCGGTCGATCCTCCACTCTTAAATTCCTTGCCTCTAGAAAACGAACAATTTCCGGCCATTTTGGATTGCATGTGAAAGTAATAAATAAATCAGGATGCCCAGCCCATCTACAAATTGCCATTGCATCTTGATAATTCTGA